TCACTGAGATTAGACTACACACAGGTGGACTCTTTTAGTCATTAGCAACCATCAAGCAATTTTTGAAGGCAATCTGTTGCATTCACAAAAAAAAAAATAATAAAAAAAAAATTATTCAAATCTATTTTTATTTCTATTTCACAATTATATATCATTTCGGCTCTTTCATGTTTCATACATGATCTGGTTTAGACACATCTGTATGTAGCTGTATTGTGGCAAAATGTGGAAAAGTGTAAAGGGTTTAATAATTTGGCATTCCAGTGAATCCATCTTTGTTTTGTTTTTCTTTCTTCATTTCTCAGACATTTTACTACCAGCTTTTGTCAAATTTTCCCCCCCAAACTCAAGCTTAACCTGGGTGCTTCAGAATGAATTTTAAACCAATCCCCCGGTCGATGCAAGTAGGACACTAATACTTTATTTGCAGTATAAAACACTTTTTTTAGACTGTGTGTATGTATTATTGAACATTTTTTTCAGTTCCTCAGTTCATAGAAGTTTTCTATACAAGAATCTGCCTATTAAAAAAATCAAAGCAAATATTAAGGAATAAAACAGAAGTTATACGAATAATACGAGCCAAACCTTAATATGTTTTTGCCTGTTTTCATTTGTAAAAAAGGTGATCTTTGGACAACAATCCTTGGATCTCTAGAAATCAATGCAATTCTGTGTTGGCAGTGTAACTGCACACTAGACCACCACCTGGCACAGCCATTTCTTTTTTTGGTGGTTATAATTTAATGTGGAACCAGAACAAGGGTTGAGTACTGAATAAAATTAAAACAACTATTTGAATCTGATTTTTAAGATTAAGAATCTATTATTTTTGATCAAGTTCAAATTTAAATGGGATTACTGGTATTAAAATGTGAATAAATGGCTGTATAGTTAAAAACATACCCCTTAGATTAATGTAGATGAAACTATGGCTGGGTCGTTTGAATCAAAACAAAACAACTTTTTTCTTTTGGTTTTTGGTTCTCACCAGCCGGGGCCTGCTGGGACATGCTGTTGGTTCCATAGAGTGACAGAATGGAGTCCTTGGACAGTGGCTTCTTAGCTCCGTCCTCAGCTTTATTGGAGCTACTGCTGTCGCTGAACAGGTTCAGGTCAGCCTGTCCTGAAGCTGAGCTGGCTCCGCCTCCCCCTGCAGCTGCAGCCGGAGCCTGTGTCGGAGTGCTCGCTGAGGTACTGGAGCTCCCCTGGAAAGAGGGGAAAATATGCTATTAAACAACCATATATTTTGTTTGTTGTTATTCATCCAAAGAAACACATCTCCTAATAATTAATTTTCCATTTAAATGTATATTTGTTAATTTGGTTTTCAATATTGCTACCAAGTATCAGGGTTCTCACTAGGATTTGTGCTGACAGGGCAAGAGGACGTGTTCACCTGCTTGCTTGCACTCAGGGTGACACCGAGTAGAGTGTGAAAGCCGTGGGATTCACTTTTTCATAGCACTTTTCTAAGGTTTATATGCAAATAAGAAGGTAGATGTTTTTAAAGACTGTGCTATCTAGCATTCTCATTAAAATCCAGCCCACTGACCTAATTGTAGCAGCATTTCGAACACTTTCAGCATCAGCAGCGGGTTTTTTTTTGTTGTTGTTGTTTTTTTTATCTTTATCAAAATTACCCACAAAATTCTTGGTTTCAAAGCTTACCACAGCTTTATAGCACTTGTATGCTGTTTTGTCAGTGGTGGTTATAAAAAAAAAAAAAAATATGTTAGTCACTGCATGTCTTTTAAAAAAAAATGTGAAGTTGTTTTATCCTTTGGTTGAACTTAAAAGCGAGCCATATCTCATTAACACAATATTGTCCCTAATAGGGGTGTCCTGATACAACTTTTAGCACTCAAAACATTCTGCTTTTATTACTAATTTTGTACCGTACAATGATAAGTGATAATACTAAGACAAAGAACAATTGTCCGCATTATTAGTTAACAGAATAACTGACTCATGTCATATTATCCAAGGAGTTGCAGAACCTTTAAACAGAAGTATCAGTATGACAATATTGGAGATTTTAGATGAAGGCCGATATAGCCTTTTGGCTAATATTGAATCTATATCTGATACTAATATCGGATCGGGACAACCCCAGTCCTATAAAAGACATGGTGTTAAGATTGGAAGAGTTTATAGCAAATTTTTAAATGGTTTATCTAAACTAGAATTAAGATGGTGACTGTTTAAAAAAAAGGAGATAGATTATTAATAAAAGTGCTCTATAACTGTTTAATGAATAGTTATATTCTGCTCTTTAGAGTCAAAAACCTTCTTCAATATCATGTACCCTGTGATGTCAATGGACACCATTTTTCATTTTTTCACCTACACCTTTTATTCACTCCAACGGTCTGCTGCTTTCATGCCTGAATCAGGCGAGGAGTGTTTCTTTACCTGAGAAAACTGAGCTGCAGATGTGGATGATGGCAGAGGGTTGGACACCATGGGGCCAAATATATCCAGGTCATTGTTCTGGTTTGTGCTTGTGCTGCCATTGTTAGCCGATGCAGCGGCGGCAGGCGTGTCTGTGACGGAAAGGTGAACAAACTGGTTCAACAGGAGGAACAAAGCCTCACATAAAGAGAAATAACCTTTAACATATCTCACCAAAACTAATTTACTTAAATCTAGTCTACCAACTTAATTAAAAATATGTCACTGTGTATCAGCCTCAGACTGAGAAAGAACCAACCATTAGATATACATTAGATATCAGCTAGTCAATGGTTTACCACAAGCAGGAGGCATAAGAAAACAGACTCAAAATGAAGAATAAAGCCACTTTCTGAGTGACGCTGAGGCATCGGTCTGTGAGCGACTGTAATACAGAGCAGGATTGGGGGCTTATTGAGGCAACTCAAGGTTCAGGGATTTTCAGTATGATGAAGCAGGTTCATTGGTCCAGCCCACGTAACCATGGTTACGTGGGCTGGAACCCTAACCTGATTCCCAGCAGGTTTTGTTTGCAGATAGGTTTAGGAGATTGGCACACATAGCAAGGTCAGCCTCCAACCAATCAGTGCAGTTAAAAAATGAGAAGCAAAAGATAACTCTGCTATGTGTACCAAGGATGTGTCAGCTAGAAGTATTGGTTTTATAATCACAACTAAAATGTAAAAACCTGACTTAAAGCTTCAGCTCATGCTAATCCAACAGTTTCAATAATTTTCTTCTGATGGGGCAGAGAAAGAATTGAAGTCACAGGGAGGGTCTCAGGTTGTAAGCACAGCCTCTCCCCCACCTGTTGCTGCCCTGCACCAGTCAGCAGGCCGAAAGGAGGCTACTAATGCTATGTAAAACGTATGTAAATATTTCATTTTAAAATGTATTATTTAGGAAACTAATGGGACATCAGGACTATATATTATTAATCTAATGATGTTACACATCTACAGTTGGAGCTCTTGCAAATACTGAATTTAAAAATGTAATACATTTCCTAAATGATTGATATTTTTTAGCCATGCTCTATAGTTTTTCATTGAATTTTAAAAAATTTGACTATTTGCACAACGTTTTTACTTTTTTTTTATCATAAAACCCCTTGTTAGGGCTGGATAATTTGGCAGTGTGGTAAAAACAAAGCCTTTCCTGATTTTTTTTTTATTAATGAACAAACATGTGATCTGATAAAATTAGGACTTTAAAGAAAAAAAAAAAAAAAACTATTAAACTGGACAAAACTTGAGTCTGGTAATCGTCGCCACTCAAATCTAAACTGGTATTGTAAAAACTCTTAATTTCGCTGAGGAATTTCAATCTCTTGAATGTGATGCCTCAAGTTAAAGGCATCAGCTGTGCACTAACTGGTTTAAATCTTTTTTTTCCCCCAGCTTTTATTGCTATGATTACACTGTTACAAGTACAGAGCAACAAAATGAACTCTCTGCCTTTAACCCATCCCCTTTGGGAGCAGTGGGCTGCCATTGTGCGAAGCACAGGGAGCAGCGTGGGGTTCAGGGTCTTTGCTCAGGGACCCATAGTGGCGGTCTGTGGGAGTGGGGCTTGAACTCAGAACCACTGGATTCCAAGCGCAATGCCCTAACCACTAGGCCGCTACTCCCCACAGATCTTTGATGTCTGTTTGGTGATATTAAGATGTGAGTTTCACCCTTTAATTCTCAGCCGCATGTCTCAAATCACAACTGCTGAGATATCAACCGAGTCCATTGAGTGTTTTGTTCAATAATGACATGTTTAAGTGACCTAGGCAAATCTCAGCCTTGCTGGTGTCTGAACAATAACACAGCTGCACAGCTTTGGGAAAATATGACCCTGTAAACCTGTTCAACACGGCAATGGTGATATCAGTTTCAACAAACAAGGGCTACAGATTATATAGTTATTATGCAATATAATAGTAACAATTTCAATATTATTTGTATTATTCATTTACACTATTTTAAGCCAGAAATATATTTGATTATAACTGCTGTGTAATGCAGCAAAAACAGTCATAGGAGGGGGGCGATCCGAGTTCTTGGTAATGCACTTAAAATGTTGTTTTTACATAAAACCAGGTTCTAAGGAGGAAATGACATATTTATATTCTCACAGCAGCTGGATAAGCTTCATACAGCTGATGCACATCATCAATCATCAGTTACAATTTTTAGCTAAAAATACGTATATATTTTTAAACTATTGCTCATATAATGAGACGTTCACAAACATGGTTATCATGCAGACCTACAGCAAATCCAGGTTTTCCTCATCATTCTCTTTTTCTCCTATCCCTACTATTTAAACACCATTCTTTGTGAACTTTAGCATCTATAAATGTTTTGGCAAGCAGAGTGCTTGTGAGCAAAGCCTATTATGCAACAGCTACCAAATGTTGGTTTAAAGTACACTTTTGCTTCTGCAGTGCTGTACATACTGCATTAACACTACAGTGGTTTGTGCATGTCTGCATATTCTGCAGCTCAAATTAACAACTTATTACTGTTGACTTTGTGATGAGCTTATTTATGCCAATAAATGAGATCTGATCTGTAATGATGGATGATAAATTTTAGGACTAAATATTCAGGGTTTACTTTGTCTAGTTGTACACAACTCAGCTATGATACATTAGTAAATAATTTGTGCAACCAGAGCCATAAAGGTGTCAGATCCAACTGCTCCAATGCGATTGGTCCCCTTATTTCAGCTATACACTATTTGCATATTTATGCACATTCAAAAAAGAAAAAATATGTTTTCCATCAAATAACCAATGCTTTATCATTCCTCGAAATGTTAAACCTCGAAAAAGAAACCACACTTTTTGAATCTACTGATTTATAATGACCTCTGGTTGTGTCTTATTCTACAAAGAGTAACCAGGTCGCTGTAAGCATTCTGTCCAGCTTTTAACTGCATTTAAAACTGAGCTGCAGAGTCTGGAGCTCTAAACATGTATCAGGTCTTTTAATCGAAACGAGAAGTTAGAGGTCTGCTGTCAGCAACTGAAGTGCTTCCTCTTCTGAACACAAACATGCAGTGGTTTCTGGTGTGAAGCAATAGGAAGAACATTCGGGCTGGAAGTTAAAACCCGTCGCTGCATCGCGAGAGGAATCAGCATATATCAGTTTAATGCAAATCATGGTGGCAAAAGCCACTTAGTTGTTCTGATCGCTGCCTTTCATGAAGCCCTGTCAGATGAAGCCTTCTCTTTGACTCACTGGCTTGATCAAACAAGTGAAAAAATAAAACTACCAGAGGCCGAAACAAACATCCTTATCAGTTGTACCTGTGAGCAAAAAACACTCCTTTAGCTGTTTAACCACATTTTCCACAGGTTTATGATAATAAAAATGGTAATAAACATAAAAAATTTCATTTTTTAAAACTTTTATTTTCATATAATATATTTAAATGTTAATATTGTTCACTCACCAAGGCCTAGCAGGTTCACAGGAGGCTCTGCAGTTTTTGCAGGACTGATCCGGGGTGCAGGCCTGGGCTCTTCACTCTAAATGAAGAATAGTTTTGGAGGCAAAAATTTTAAAAAGAGAAACACAGGAAAACAACTTCAACGGATCCCTTTAAGCCTTAATTTATGCATGTAAAAGACTAACCTTAGTGTAAGAGGACACCTTGTTCCCTCTGTCTGGCTCCTTGTCTTTCTTACTATCCTTTGGCTGACAACACAAACACCAAAAACATTAAACTGATACCAGTCTGATTACACAGACGTAATAAACAACATTTAGGAAAAATGTTACTATGAAGACTTGGTGACCCCCTAGATGTCACTCCTCTGTGCTTTTTTATTTTGTTGCATTATATATAATACATCAGGGAAACATAAGGTCATTGGTGAATTAAAAAAATTGGCCAGTGTTCTTGCAGCAAAGATGATCTTTTTGTAGAGAATTATCGAAGTCGTGTTTTCATTTGAATTCAAGTGCATGCATGAGTTCTCTCAAGGAACCCCCAGATCAAAAACACGACCGTTGATTTGCGTCTCCAACTTGCTGATAGGTGGGTGTTAATGCTTCTGTGTTGCGCTGTTATTGCCGGGTGACCTGTTCTATGATACCCCTCCTTTTACAAAAAGATAGACAGCAATCCCCCCCGGTTACATGGGCAGGAGGGTTTTCCATACATCTCTAACCAGGGGTGCCAATACTTAATGGATGTTCAATACATACACTGCTCCTATCGATCCCATTCTTGTTATAGTACTTCTTCTTTTCATATTTATCCCTGATGAAGAATTCGACTGCTCTGAGGGCAGAGTTAAGAGGGAAACTCAGCAGTAAAGATGTAAAAATATAAGCAGAGAATGGGATTATCAGGTCTGTGAGTCAGCTGACAGCGAAGGATACTGGTCTGTCTGAGGTCTTCTGAAGCTGTCTGGAAGGTTGGCTTCATAGAGCCGCCTGGCCTTGGTGTTACCCATGTCCTGTATACTCTGAAAATAAAAGAAAAAAGTTAGGTGAATGGGTGTAAACTCAGCAATCTAAAATACTCTTTTAGACCCTGCTTCAAAATGAGATTAGTGATCCAACATAGGGCTGAACGACTTTGCCAAAAATAAAAATTGAGATCAATATTGCGATTTTATGCCGATTTTCCTTTGCACTAACCACAATTGTGTACATGCTTTACAACAGGTTTTAGGATTTTTCATGACATTCAAAGCTTGTTTGACCAGAGTCCATTGCTGCAAGAATTAACTGTAATATTTGTATAGAAAAAGTGCAAATCTCTGCTAACCGTCATGAGCTTGCTGCATCACTCTCTTCCCCGTATTGTTGCAAACCCCCTTTAGTCTTAATCTAAACTACCACCTAAAAAGCTGGAATTTGAGGTTTAGCTACTTATACTATATTAAATGTAATGTGACCAACAGTGAGAGCCTCTGCAATCTGAAAATTGTGTTTTGTTAAATTCTGATTATGTTGCATATGCAATAAATTGCCCAGGCCCAAACAAATAATCACGGAAACATTGGAAGCAGAGCCTGTCCTATAAAACAGAAGCAAGGAAGCATTTCTCCAACATGTCTGAATATACAAGCAAGGTTTTGCATTTAGTTTGTTTGAATAGCAAAGCTTTGGGACTTTTCTCCAAACAGGTCTATGTTAAAACCCGAGGTTGGTGGTGTCAAACTTTAACCACATCCCTTCATACTTGTTTCTCCAAAAATAAAGTTATAAAACGTAACTTAAATACACAATATAAAGTATTTTAATTATAAACTGTAAAACTACTCAGGACCTGATTTTTCAAAAAAGACATTAATGTCACCGTTACTTTCAGGATGATAGGGACTTGTTTTGTTTGAGCAAATTATAGTGTACTTTGTTGACAAAGGGTTATAATAGTTTTGGAAGGAAATTCTTATATACTATCAAATTTCAGCTTCTCTTCAGTTCACTGATTCTTTTGCTACTTTCATTTCTGTGTGTCTCATATGATACAACGAAGAACAAAAGCTGTGCTGCTGATGCGTCAGATTTATATGCTCCAATAAAAGGGCAGAACGTTGTAATTTTTTAAAAGTCAGAGTCAATAATAAGTGCTGGTAGTTCACATTTCTGACAGATTATTTCTTGTATTTTTCCGATAGGAAATATAATTTCTTTAATTTTGTTTTTTTCTGCTTTTGAATGGGGATTAAATGATAAATTAAATGATTAAGCTGAAATCTGCCGACTGAAACAACAGCTTCTTTCTCCTATGTGATTCTTAAAACCGGATGGTAGGCTGAAAATAAAATATCCATCCATTTTCCATCAAGCTTATCCCAAGCGGGGTCATAATAACTGACAGCACTCTGGTGATCAGCTGGCTGAAAGAGGCTAACACTTAAAAGAATGATACGCTTAGCAATTTGTTAATATCTCTCTTAACAAATAAAAAAAAAAAAAACGGCAGTGAAACGAACAGAAACTAAAAGGTCACGGACCCTCGCTCTTATTAAGGTTAGTGAGCTACAGGCAGCAGAGTGACTAAGCAAATAAAGCAACTGATCATAGAGTTATTAAAACTATTTGCCACGTGTTATAATTGAGCAGTATAATGAAAAGTATTTTAAAACTGCTATTAAAAATGGTGCTTTGAAATCACAGATCCTCTGTGTATCAAAACAAAAACAGCAATCATTTTAAAAACCGCATTATTGCTGTAACTAATATGTCTATCATTTTAAGTAGCACTGTTGTATCGCCAATCTTTTTAAAAGCAAGTCAAAGATGCTACACATTTCGATTTAAAACTTTTCAATTAATACCATAAACTCTTTTTTCTTAAGGGTATCATACTGTTACGCTGTCATGCAAGTCCAAGCCTTGTGTAATCATGGTCTTGTCAAGACACAATCATTATTTTGTTCTGTTGTTGTTGTTTTTTTGTTTATTGTTTAAAAGATGTATATTTAATCCAAGCAAACTCTAACACGTGGCTTTACTGGCAGCATGTTAAAGCATTTAAATGTTTTTTCTCCTATACATAATTTACATTTGGATGTCAATGCTTACTAATGTTATCCAGAAACCAAAACAGGCTTCATACTATTTTGTTATCACAGCTCTGATAGTTACCCAGGATGCAGCTTATAAGGCAGACAGGGATTCAGAACCATTGAGCTTGTTTCTGTTGTTTTCTGCTTCAGCCTTTTTATTGTTGTTCACACAAACTGATCTGATGCAAGCTTCATTCGCTCATGCACAGTCTGGATTCCAAAAAAAGCTGAGAGTTCAGTTAAGCTTGATTTGAAAAAGAATGCATTAATAGGTAAAAGGATAAATATTTGGAGTTTTTAAGAGTGAAAATACCACATCTATCAAAATATTACTTTTTGGTTTATCAAAAGTACAATCATCTAACATTCATGTACATTTTCAGTTTTTATGACGCAGTTTTTTGTTTTATTTTTTATTTAAGGACAATGCAGGGGTTTTTTTTGGAGGTTTTTTGGGGGGGCTGATTCTTAAGGATGATATTGCTTTTTCTTCCCTCATTTATATAACACTTACACAATAACACTGACACAATAACACATATTACACGTCTCAAACAAAACAATGAAAGATTCACCAACAGGTAAAACAAAACATTAAAAATAGAGAGCCAATGCACTTCATGGGATTTCAGAGAATGGCTGCAGAATGTACTAATGAATCGGTGAATTCATACATATAT